CACATGCACACACATGCACACACATGCACACACACACATGCACACACATGCACACACACACACACACACCAATCACAGTTTTGTAGAATTGAGCAGTTCACGTAGCTGAAGCGAGGCAGGGCAGCCGCCAGCGGTGCTTCAGATGATAGCACTGCAGGCACCTCATGGTCCGCTGGGATCAGGCTATGTTTGTTGCTTTTTGGCACCGGGTTCCCTATGGCAAAGACATCACCCCCACCAAGGGAAACTCGCCGAACATGGGATAAACATGTGATGATTAAAACGAAGACTACCTCCCGCAAGATGCTGAAATCCACCCCGCATGGGATTCGATCGATTTGATTCGAATTGATGTTTCAACGGACCGCGGCCAACCATGGCCAGCCATATGGGAGTTTCCCAAAATGGAAAATTTCGGAATCCCTTTTGGCTGGTACCGAAAGGGGAAAAAGGAAAGCATTTGGGTGTCTTTTCAGCGGACCCCCCCAAAGAAAAAACAGAGGTGGTTTCCTGTTGGCGTCCTTCGGAATCCACAAAAACAGGGACCCGGGCCCGAACCTTTCAAGAAAGCCGAGCCACCCATTTGATCACCGCCCCGGCTCCTGGCAAACCGAACGAGTTCCAACCGGAGACAGACCTCTCAGCCGCTGGCCGTGCGATAGATGACCAGCAAAGCGCCGCCCAAAGCGCCAGCGGCCAGGAGCCACATGAACCTCTCGCGCAGCCGTGAGGTTTGGCTTTCTTAGGATTTCTCTCTCCATCAGGAGACTTTGAAGTCTCTTGCAGGGTTCTTGCATGTGGTGCCTCGGTCGTTAGTTGTGACACCAGATGCCCGCCAAGGAGCCGAGTCCGCTCGCTCAGCGTTGAATGAAATGAAATAGGATTTCCCTCTTGCCCAAAGGCCGTGTAAATATTTCTGGGCGCTGACCTTTTGGAGCCTAGATGGAAAAATAGACCTAGGGGAAAAACAGAAGGTCAAGAGGTCGGCTGCGGTCAAGAGGTCAAGAGGTCAAGAGGTCGGTTCGGTTGGTTGGTTTTCAAGGAGAAGCCAAAAGGAAAGCCACCATTGGACCAACCCATGTGCGACGTGTGTTTTGAGGGGCACATGTTTTGTTTGGGGCATGACTATGCAATGCCCAGAATGGCAGACAGGAGAAAGGGAAGGAGATAATAATAAAAACCGACATTAAATCACTTGTCTATTTCTCTTCTCTTCTTAAGAATTATATTATTTGGAAATCATTACATTTAGAAGTTGCAACCGATTCAAATCGATTTACAGGATTTAGTATTTATTGAAGGACTGGAATTCAGTTCTCATACGTAGCATTATGTTCTATATGTGTTCATCTTAGTTTATTAGTCATTTATAGTTGTCATATTTGGTCTAGAGATTCATTAAGAGAATTAACTAAACAAATGACGTCTTATTAATAACAGTTTGTTCTTATTTTTGCATTTTTTCTAGTTTCTGAAGCTCTATTAGTTGTATCCTTCCTTTGGACATCTTTTCATTTATTAAACCAGTACATAATGATGGATTATTTATCAGGCTGCGGCCTACCTCATATCATCTCTACCTGGCATTCCACGTCTAGCAAATAATCTGTCCCACACCTTTATATATCTGAGATTGTGTGGTGTGAGTTGGGCAAAAGAAGAGATAGCAAATGGAAGTTTTTTTTTGGATGATGGCAAGCTTAGAAGAACAGATTTATTGCTTCAAGCCTTTCATTGTCTTACTGCCTTCTTTTTCCATTCCATTCCTAGATTCAAAATCTTAAGGAATGGCATCTTTTCCTTCTTTTTAAAGAGACCACGTTTGGGACCCGTTCCCCCCGACAAACTAGTTCAAAGGGGCCAAGTATTCAAACTTAGGAACAACACCATTTGTGCGTGTCTTTTTATAGAGCATCGAGAAATTGGTGGTGTTAAAACCACTCAAAAGAAATAGCAGCGCCGAAAGAAGACAACCTGGTTTAGTTTAAGCAACCATTTGGCTTCTGAAGGGGCCGGGAGGGGCTGTTCATTTAAGCCGATTCTGCCACCACTCTGCGAATGAGAGGAAGGGGGGGTCCCTGTTAGCCCTGCTACCTGCTACTTGAGGTCCAATCTTACTTGAGGTCCAATCTTGGGCTGTTCAGAGCGAGCCTCGGGCAGCTTGCTGCCAATGACGCCATGGCGCAGGCTTATTCCATCCCACTCTCAGATTCTCAAAGAACCATCTGGAAGATGGTCTCACTTTTGCCAGCCTTCCATATAAGAACAGATCGGCCCATGGCAAAAGGGAAGGGGCTTCATAGGTTGCTCTGTCAAGCGGTGAACCGTAGCCATGGCACGCAGCAACGTGCCAAAGAGCTGCATCTGACACTCAAGGTCCGTGCACTTGGGCAAGCATTGGAGTCCAACTGACTCCAACCCCAAAAAAGGGGTCCCTGAAAAAGGATGTTTGTCGCAACGATGGGTGATTTTGGGCTTCATGTCAAGAGCGCTCAGGCCGTCCTGTTCTTTTTTCGCTGACATTGCCAGCCGTAGGGCCCCTTGCTCGCGGAGCTGGCCCCAAAACTATCCTGGAAGGACATGGCAAGCGTCTCGCTTGCCCCATGAACCCCAGGAATAACTCTGACAGAAGGTGTCAGAGATTGAACGCTTGCGTAAAGGAACCAAATCAGCTGAGATGACCTTAATCCTATAAGAATCCTCCTTGTGCTCTCTGCGCTTCTTTTGTTTTTTTCTGCAAAGGCGCTTGGCTCAGTATCACCGCTGCGCGAGCGAGACTGCCACTGCAAAAAGGCCTCTGCCCAACCGCAAGCGTCCGAAAGCTTTTAAGCAATTACTTTGAACTTGCAGAACCTCAGAGACTCACACCCCCCGCCAGCTCTGCCCAAGAGAGCACGCAAATCGCGGTCACGCTGAGCTCCCAAATGGTCGCCGCGCATCCGCTATGCGTAAGATTCCTTCGGGTTGCCAAAGCCCTCGTCCTGCAGCGCAAACTGAGCTGACCCGTATAGCAACTTTGGAGCTGCGGTTCTCTCGTGGCTCGGGCCTAAAGTTTGAAGGGCCATTTGCTTTTAGGCGCTGTCGGACCCCTCAACTGCGTTCTGCATATGATCACGCGCTCGGGCGCAGAGGCAAATTTTGTTTCGCCCTGGCTGGTTAGCTCTGGTCGCGCTTCGAGGGCAGCCTCGATGGCCTGACTTACACGGACGACAAGTGGCAGGAAGAGGACACGTGCAAACGATATCTGCTTTTCGGGCGCAAATGCACCTTCAAATGGGGGTGTCTTTCTTTGAGGGCACCCTTTTTTTCTCTGGATTACGGGAAACCAAAAGGACACACACACACACACGCACACGCTACATTTTGGGGTCCCCTAAAAGATGACACACCTAACTTTGTTGACAGCCCCGGGCCTGCAAAATAGCACAGCATCCGGGCCCTCAAAGCACGCGATCCGGCCTTCTGAAGGCGCAGGCCAAAGTCCCCAGCATACCTGGCACATTCGGCCGATCTGCGCTGCAGAACAAGGGAGTTCTAAAATCCGACGATTTTTCCTGGCTCGTTGGTTCTAAACTCGAGCGCGAAAATTCGTCCCATTTCCGGAATCCTGACAAGAGCAGGATCTCTCGCAGTGTCACTTAGCA